CTCCACAAAATTTTGGGTTGAGTTCATTAGGTAAGAGTATATTGTGGAAAAGTTATAAATGGGAATGCATGATTCAGAGAGGAGAACAAAATGTTGGTTTGAAAAATCAAGAAGAGCATTAGCTAGTAGTCTGCGTTCTGCTTCAACCATATTTACTTGACCCCATTCGACTTTCTGCAATTTTCAAAAGTGTTTATATAAGATAAAATAAAACACATCAACGGTAAAAAAAGGATTAAATGTATAGACATGTCAATAATCCGACATCATACGAACATTATTATTCAAAAAACATTTGGTACAATGCATTAGATAAGACTTGGCAGAATATAGAAAAGGAGAGACGTGACAAAAATGATAGATATCATACTGAGTCCAACTTATAAAACATGTTATAATGTGAAGATAAGTTAATGCATTTGTCATAGTATGTAATTCTCTAGTTAAGTTGACCATTTGCAAAATCGAGAATACCAATGTAATCTATCTCCGAACCATTTTTTTATTTTTATTTACTGAAAAGGATATGTAATTTGAGTTAATGCCATCTAGGAGATAAGATAAGGCAGGGTGAAGAATATTTTTCGATTATTGTTGGCATCAAAAAGTTAGTTAGGATAGGGACTTTTGATTAACACATTGAATTTAGTAGGATGGGCCTTGTCTTTTTGGTATGTATCTTAAATGCTGCCCCAATCTGCAAAGGCCATGGCTAGCTTGTGTCCCACATACGTTGCACTCCACATGGTTTTTTCTTCTACTCAACATGAAAAGACAATTTGTTTTAGCCCCAACGATGCATCTTTTACAACACGTTTGAGATGCAGTACTCGATACAATTGTTTAGTCTTGTAAAAAGACACAACATTGGCTTCTCTATTTGGTAATTTATTTAAGAATTGAATAGATTGGTCGAGAAATTGGATAATAATATGCATTCATCGATGTCAACGAATTTTTTATATAAGCCAATCATGAAGAGCTTCCCGACTACTAAATAGCCATGGTATTTTCTNAAGAGCTTCCCGACTACTAAATAGCCATGGTATTTTCTACTGTTTCTTGGGTTAGTGAAGTAAACGATTGGAAAATCTCTTTGTGTTATTTAACTTGATACATATACTTGCTCTTGAGTGCTGGCTGTATTTTGTTTGTTATTGACAATAAGCTTGTCTATTTAATTACAGGATTGCAGACAAGTCACAGGTTTATACACAACATGCCTATATGAGACCCCTTGGGATAGGTTCGTGGCTCATTATTTTCAAACTTATTGAATGAATCTTCACAATATTCTGTTTCTTCATATCATATATTTGTGCTTCACATTTTTTGTTTTCAATGTAAAGTTGCAATGATATTGGGTATTGACGAGGAGAAGGGACCTCTGCTATTTAAATGTGATCCTGCTGGCCATTTTTATGGTCATAAGGTAATTGCAATATTTCTTTAAAATGAATGTCATAGTAGTTGCTTCCGATGCATGAGTTTTTCATATAACTTTCCTGAAATTTCATTCCCCTTTTCTGTTGAAGCTATTCCTCTAGGTGGTTGTGATACATCCAAAATGATAATTTGAATAGTGATAACCACTAACCAAGCCTACTTCTTTCTGATAGGGGTTGATAGCTTGCTTCAAGCCTTGATTACATGGAAAGAATATATTAAAAAAACTGTATTGATGAATTCTCTCCTTCAATGCCATTAAAATTGGTTTTCCCAGCAGACCTTCTTGTGACCTAGAACCTGCAAGTACTAGGTTCCTTTTCATAAGCTTTTTCTGTTGTTGTGTCAAGGAGGCTTTGTTACTATAATTTGAGATCGGGTGAAATTGGGAAGATGATTCAAGTAATAATAGCTAATCCTTAGCTAGTGATCCATACATGGTACATTCACATCGCTAATATCTAGGTACATCTTTCTCATTTCTACCTTTTTACATTTGAGACTTGATGCAATTAGTATTTTCCGTTTAATGCAGAACCAGGTTGCAGTGTGTGCTTTCTTAGAAGGGTTTGGCTTAGGCCCTGCTGTGGTAGATAGAATCTGATGAATTGGGCTTATCTTAAGTGGTGTCTTCATTTCAGCCAACATTTCTGAGCAACTAAAATATCCCTAGTTTCTTTGAATTATTAATCTCCAAAATCATATGCTCTAATTGATTGCATCTTCATCGAAGTCGAGTTTTGGCAAAGAGCTACTCAAAATTGTTTTGCTAGTTGTGTATCTACTATCTTGTATCAAGCAAACAAGATGCGATGTGACTGAGTAATAATGCTCTAATGATTAAAAGATCTCAAAATAAAAAGAAAAATATCATTAACACGAGTACAGTGTATCCTCCTTTTTGATTCCGTGATGCTGAGTGTAGTTGTCAAAGTACAAAACGGAGATAAACTGTTTTGTTTTTTCATTATGCTGATGTCTTTCCTGTTTGAATTTTGTATTTTGTATTTTTGATTAAATGTTTTATCACAGTCCATCTAGAGTTGTTTAAATTAGCAATGTCTTCTGTCAGTACCCTCTTATTAAAGAATCTTGCTTTGTTGTGGCATCTTTTGGTGGTGGAGTAACCATTTACATTCATCTTTATTTTTTAGGCAACAAGTGCAGGATCAAAAGAGCAAGAGGCAATTAACTTTTTGGAAAAGAAGATGAAAAATGATGTTACATTTTCCTATGAGGAAACTGTACAGGTAAATAAAAGCACATCATGAATATGTTTTGTATTGATGTTTCGCATATTGGATATATAGTCATTGATTTCTAACCTGGTGAATAAAAGAGTGATTTTTTGAAACCTAATCTGACTCAACTGTGTTTAGCCCCTGTTTGGTGACCATTTTTTTGGAAAAATATTGTTTTAAATAGTAATTTTTTTTGGAGTGTGTGGTTAAAAAGTATGGAAATTTTTTTGGTTTACATGTAGAATATTTTATTATGTAAATGTGCGGTTGAAAATGAGCATCTAGAAAAAAGAATTTTGAAAGAATGAGAGACAAACATGGCTTAATAAAATTGGCAGAAGTCTAGTGCTTTATCTTTGTAGATTTGACCAGGCTTAGAAAGCATAAAAAGGTTTTCCTTGAATTCTCCTTATTTACATTTTGAACACGTGAACACTGACAATTCCCAGAAAGTAAACTTTAGTTTGAATGAAATTTTTTTGAATCTAATTATAGTAATTATTAATTAATAAATATGCTCATGATCATGTTGTGGGCAATTGTGAATAGACTTCAATATTGCTTCAAGCATATATTAAGTTCTTCCCAACTCCATGTTTTAGTTACCACATTGAAATTGATCGACTACACTGTGCAATTCTACTTTTCTATAAGTAAAATTGCTAGATGTTAATTGCTCTACCCATGGGTCCTGCAATAAGTGAATATATGTGGTGCAATATTGAAGGCTTTTAGCAAATGCCTCTACTTCCGTTGTTAGCATTTTGTATAAAATAAATCATCATCACATCTGTAGTATTGGATATGTATTGTCTACTTTTGTTCATTGAAATGCAATAGGATTTAGCACCAGCTTCCTTCTAACTCTAATCATTATTTTTTGATTGACGTGTTCAATGAAGATAATTGTTCCACATGGGTCCCATATCAATAGCAGCAGATGATTAGGATTAGACATGTTTGGAATAAGTGAGATTCCACGGCGAATCAAAGATTTGTAGCACCAATAGAATAATCGTGACCCCAACCCTAAAAGAAAGAAAAGAACAAAAAAATGCTTTCTATTAGTAGTTACAATTCTTTTCTAACGTTGTCCGACTGTTATTATCACCATTTATTGATGATGGATGATTTGAACTAAACCAATTAACAATCAAACAGAATTGACGCCTAATATATAGGGAAAATTGCAGCCACGGTACCAAATCTTTCACTTTTTTGCAGACTTTGTCCAAATCTTTCATTTGTGGCACCCACGGTACCAAACCTTTAAACAACTCGCATCCGGAGTCCAAATTGACAGAAACCGTTAGTTTGATCGTTAATTGACCAATAATTAAATGTTTGACCAATTGTTGACCAATTTTTAAAGGGTAAATGTGTAATTTTACATTTTTCATATGGAAAAAAATTTTAAAAAAAGAATTAAAAAAAAAAAAACCATGCCACTGTTCATCTTCTTCCCCCCACCCCCATTTCAACAGAAGTAGCCGCATTTCGAATTCCTCGACGGTAAATGGAAACCCGCAGTATGGAGTTCCAATTCTTAATCAACTCAGACCACAAAATATGAATAATGTTCCAATGGTTTCGTCCTACCAGATTCTAGTTCAGAACGGAGCGGACTCGGGTGTAAATTCGGGTACAGTTTCAGGTTAGGAGTGATTATCGATGCAAGAGTTGGAGAAGAAGCTGATGAATCATCGGTTACAGGAGCTGAAGAAATAGCTATTAGGCGACGAAGATGAATGTAAAGCGGTGTCTGTGGTGACGAATAGTGAGTGGTTTGGTACGATCCAAAATCTGATAAACCCAACCCGTAAGACAATTTCGCCATTTCCGACTTCTTCCTCGTCANGGGGGGGGGGGGGGGGGGGGGGGGGGGGGGGGGGGGGGGGATGAACAGTGGCAGGATTTTTTTTAAATTTAATTCTTTTATTTTAATTTTTTTTCATATGAGAAATGTAAAATTAAACATTTATCCTTTAAAAATTGGTCAACAATTGGTCAAACATTTAATTATTGGTCAATTAACAGTTTCTGTTAATTTGGACTCCGGGGCGAATTGTTTAAAGGTTTGGTACCGTGGGTGGCACAAATGAAGAGTTTGGGCAAAGTCTGCAAAAAAATGAAAGATTTGGTACCATGGCTGCATTTTTCCCTAATATATATTTTCGTTAGTAAATGCCTGAGGATTTGACTCCCCTTTGGTGTAGGAGTTTGCTCTCAATCAAACAGAATCCACATCCAATTTTAAACACGGTTTTTATTAAAAATAGTGAGGAGTATGCTCTCCATCATGAAATTTGTCATCGTTCTAGACTTCAATTTGCGAAGTGTAGAGTTAATAATCATAGCACGTGTCACCAAAAAAGCGAGGAGTGCAATACTGTAGTGTTTGAATAAAAGCCAGTGGGAGAGCAAATAAAGAAAGGATGTAACTGCTCTTGATTTAAAAAAGGATGTTGCTTGGAATGCCCAACAGTATTTTTATATCCTACCTAGCGAGAGAGAATCTTTTCTTCAGTCACAGAAATTCTTCTAATTTAGAGTATTAAGCTTGAGTTTGTTTCATACGAGTACATCTGTACAGATGTTTTTACTCTTACATGACATTTAATGTTTTAGTTCTAATTTTGTAATATTGCTCCTTTTTATAGACTGCAATATCTGCTCTGCAATCCGTTCTCCAGGAGGATTTCAAGGCCAGCGAGATTGAGGTAGCCAACTTACCTGACAATATCACTTCCTTGTTTCTGTTAATTATTTTACAATGGATAGTTGTTCTGCTCTTATCTCTACCTCACATATTACCTTCAAGATATTGTTCACCAATTTTTTTCCCCTCAAAATTTAGTCCATTTTCAAAGGTTTTTTGTGGAGTCTAGTAAACTCTTTTGGCTTGTACATTTGAATCTACCAAATGAGAAAATATTAAGATGACCTAATAACTACTTTACATGAAGTACAATGTAGTAATGGTGGGCATCTGATATCTATTCTTCATTTCTTTTTAATGACACAACTTTTTGCCATTTTGTGTGCCAGTAACCATTCTGGGGATAATCTCAACTTTCATATTAGCATGAATGGATTTCTTTTTTGAGTGGTGCAGTATGTACAACTGTTGCTCCATTAAATCTTGTCTTTGCCAGGTGGGTGTCGTGAGGAAAGAAGATCCAGTCTTCAAAGTTCTGTCGACTGAGGAAATTGACGAGCACCTGACTGCTATTAGTGAGCGTGACTGATAATATTCTGCTATAAAAAATTTCAGCTTCTCCTTTTATTTCATCGTGGGCAAGATAGACAAATTAGCTTGTTTTGCTTATGTTTGGATTACTACATCAAATTCTGTTGCAGTGTTTCTCTTTATATCATGCTACATGATTATTGCCACTTGAATACAGATTTCACTTGAGCCTCATGTTATTTAATGGCCATAATCTCATTCAACATGTAACTTTGCCGTTCTCATTTTATTTTAACATTGTTGTTATGTCTGTTAGCTCAGACATTAAGGGCTTTCTGGGCTGTTGTGTTCACATGCCAACCATAAAATGCTAAATTGGAAAAGAATTGAAAGCTAGATAACTAAGTGGAAGTAAGTTCGTATTTTTAGTCTTGTTTAATACTATTTACGAAAATTCTGTTTAGTACTCTCTTCTTCCAACCCAAAACCTGAATTTCTTCAATTCAATACACAAAATATGATTACCGGCGCCAAGGGAACAGAACTAGATAAGGAAACTTGTTACAATATTATTGATGTGTGCAGTCCCAACTTCAGCAGTGATCTTCATGGTGTTGTCAACTGCAGTTTTCCTATGAAATCACAATTAAGAGTTCCCAAATACAAATGATTTTCAAACTCCAGTGCAGATGTTACGAAGGACATAACCTTTCCTGTTGGATCATCAAAGCTCCTTATTATCTTGCCATCACTTGCTACATTGATGACAGTTGCTTTGTTGTTGACACCAATTGCCCATTTGCTTAATTTAGGGAAGCACATTAAAATGTGTTTCAGTGTTCTTGATCTGTGCACAAATTCCAGCCCATTAGGAACCAGCTGCAGTGCAGAGAAAATCTTCAGCAAGTTATGAATTCTTTGCAGTATTGGATTTCAACCTATTTAACTCGAGTAACAAGTGGGTCTTTAACCTTTTAGTTCTTACCAAAAAAAATTGTTCAAATTTCCGTTAAAAGTGTCACATGACTTTAGTGCAAATATCCCTCGCTTGGAATTCTTAAGCATTTATAAAGAGAGACGATATATGGATGGTTTCTTGTCTTTGAGGATCGACTTGTGCAGATAAATGAGATGATTTATTTGTGGCTAGCTATATAGAAATTTTGTACCTGTAACAAAGCAATCCAAAAAGAGCCATCTGGAGCAAGATTTATGTTATCAGGTCCACCAGGAAGATTGTCAATAAATAACTCAGTTTGTCCCATCTTTTCCTCTCTTAGCCAATATTTTAAGCACCTAAATCTGACCCACAAAATCACAAATAGAAATAGATTAAAGACTTGTTTGGCTTAAATCTAAAGAAGCCCTTTTGTTTAGGGGTGTCAGTCTTGAAGTGTCACAATCTTGATAGTCCATCACGATAAAATGAGTTATGAGAGAATGATCGACCTAAAATGACTTACTTCCAAGTTTCACAAACGATCAAGAAATCTTGATCTGCAGAGAGAGCAACACCATTTGCGAAGGCAAGATTATCAAGCAAAATAGACGTCTCATTTGATGAAGAATTGTACATTAAAAGCTGCCCATGAGGCTTTGCCTCGAGCACGTCAAGGTGCCAATCATGGAGGCCAAATTTTGTACTTGCAATGCTGAAGTACAAATTACCATCTGCTGACTCTACAACATCGTCTGCAAACCTTTTAAATATTTGAAAAAATATGAGTGATTACGACATGAATTAAATAAAATATTTTGAACCATGCTACAGTACCCGCGTGGTTGACCGCGAGGATGACTGCACACACACAGGAGGGGGTCGGATTATTTTATTCGGGGGTGGAACCCGCGCCGAGGCTGTGTGTGGTCATCTCCGCGGTCACCGAATATTTGAAAAAATATGAGTGATTACAACATGAATTAAATAAAATATTTTGAATCATGCTACAATACTCGCGTGGTTGACCACGAGGATGACCGCACACACACAGGAGGGGGTCAGATTATTTTATTCGGGGGTGGAACCCGCGCCTACGCTGTGTGTGGTCATCTCTGCGGTCACTGCAGATCGTTTAGCATTATTCAAATATTTTATTTATAACATAATGCAAAGCAGGGCACGTGTAATAGTGCGACGATAGAGAGAAGTGAATGATTCATTTATTGTTCGATTTTTGCTAGCGTAGGCCCTGTTCGTCCGGGGCCCACGTAGCCCTGGACGAATGGTAAAACTTTACTGTTGAAATAAACATCAATTATCTAGAGACTCGATGCAGTAGTCATCATCTCTTTATTATAAACTGCCAAAGTGCTTCTCATCATGCAATGTGAAATGTGTAGTGAAGAAGTGGATAAAACATTTTAAGGGGTTGTACAATATTGTTAAAACCTGATAAAAGTTTGTGGATACTATGAAATGTGTAGTGAAGAAGTGGATAAAAGTTATGTATTCGATGAAATGTGTGATTGAAAATAAAGTTTGATTAGCATTTTAGGAAATAAAAGTTTGGAAAGAACAAACAAAGGAAAGCAAGCCGCCTGACGTCCAATCAATCACTTGTCTAGGCCTTCGTTGCGGTCACGTAACTCTTTCCTTGTTGGCAGTCCCAATCATTAGCTGAGATGAGCTCTCCTATTTCTTCACTGGTTCCAGTTGATCATTAGAAATCAAGTGCAAACTGAAAAGTCACATGATCTGAAGCAGCAACCTCGATTTGAGACCTAATTTGATATGCAATTGGCGACTAGAATTGAAAAAACTACTTTTATGAGAGGAATCCTTAATCCCACATTCCCACTAAGACCAAGGGGACTCACTCTAATACTGGAGTTCTAACTCTCAGGGTTATCAAGAACAGAAAACAACCAGAAACTAGAAACTATTTAAAGAAGTTTCATAGGTAACATGAAACGGACTAAACCAGAACTGAAGAAAAGTCCAGTGGTTTAAGATGAGGTAGTTGGACGACAACATATTTTGAAGAAAAGAAAATGAAAGATTTCATGTTAGGACAAGTATTTCATACACATGATGAAGATGAATTAGATGGGATCTCACCTTATTTTGACACCATTAACACGGGATGCAAGAACTGTTACCCCATCTTCTCCAACCTTGAGCAAACCCTATGCATCATCATTCGTAGTGAGAGAGTTAAAATAAATAAATACGTCGTTTCTCCGACAACTTTAAAAATGAACTTGGAGATGTACAGATGATCATATTTCTCGTACATTCTCTGCGTCGCATACAACGAGATCACCAGCTGCTGTTGTAGTTATTCCAAGTAAAGTATCACTGTCAATATGCTTCCAATTGTCCCATGATCCATTTCTGTACAATTTTTTGATCCAACCATCTCTTGTAGCTGTATAAAGAACTCCCATTTTGTCCACAGCAATGGCTTCTGGTTTCTTCAAAAGCCCTTCTCCAAGTTTATCCACTTCCTACAGTTTACCGGCATCACCATTGGTAATACACTCACAAAACTAAGTGTAATTAAGGTATTTACCTGTAACTTGCTGTTTGATGGGGCAAGCAAAGTCGAAGAGGTTGGAGGAAGATGGAGAATATCAGGTGATAATGGGATTAAGACAAAAACTTGGAGGGCAATTGCCAACGCACAAACTATAAGAATGACTGAACATGTTCTCTTGTCCATGACACTAACTTCAATGGAGGCTGTGATGCAAGAAGGCTTTGAATTTATAGGGTAAAACCATTCGTACACGGGGGTTTACAGGGGTGCAGGTGGGGCCGAGTAAACGGGGGTTACACCCCCGTGTACGAATAGCATGGTCCGAATTTATAAGGATCAGATGGTAAGGAAGTCTAAATTTTCTACCGAATGACTCCATTGGGCTTTGCTAGTGACAGGCCCCGCCACTTCACGAGGTGCACGTGTTCGTCCAGTGACGTGGCCCTCGACGAAGAGCAAAACCAGACTCCATTGGACTGCACCCTTCTTTGACCAGGGCGGGCGTTGTAGTGGTGTCAATCGGGTCAGGTAGGACCGGCTGCAAAGTGCTCACTTACAGGTGGTAGGTCCAAAATTTAGCCCATGCTTGGTAACTATCCTTTTAAATTTTTTTTCTCATACTTATTTGATTTTGTTATTTGAACACCGGGGTGTACATCCCCTCACAATAGGGGGCCCACGGCAATTAAAAAATAATCTTGTTACACATACATCAAGATTTACATTATGACTTACATAATTGCCACATGTCATTCTATTATTGGATAGTTTAAAATACAGTCAGCTTTTTCATCCAATCATTTCCTTCCAACTCATCTTTTGGCATTGCTTCTAGACAATTTCTTCTGGCAAAGTAGATTAATTTAAGGAAAAATTGCAGCAGTGGTACCAAACCTTTCATTGATTAGCAGACTTTGTCCAAATCTTTCATTTGTGTCACCCCGGTACCAAACATTTCAAAATGTCGCAGCCAGAGTCCAAGTGGATGAAAACTGTTAGATTGACCAAAAATCAATCAACATTTGATGAAACTTTTGATTTTTGGTTAACTAACGATCAAACTAATAGTTTTCATCTACTTAGACTTCAGCTGCAGTATTTTGAAAGGTTTGGTACCGTTGATGGCACAAATGAAATATTTGGGCAAAATCTGCTACTTAATGAAATGTTTAATACCGTTACTGCAATTTTTCCTTAATTCAATACAAAAAAATCGTGGGACTCTCCTATTGTGAGAGGGGCTGTAGGTGTACACATGTCAAAACTTCATTTTTAATCACATATTTTCACAATAAAAAATTCTTCAAATAAATTTAATTTTTTTTCTACTTTTTAACCATACATACTCCAAAAATTAACTATTCAAAAATTCATTCTTCCAAGGAAAAAAATGACGGTCAAACGGGGGATTAGCAATGCCTACCAAGTTTCTCTGTGGCCCTTTTCAACTCTTGGGCAGATCCCAAAGTGAGCTGGGCCAAATTTATTACTTTTATTTTTGAAATGTTTTGACAAATACGCTAAAAACGGGAGAAAACTGAGAAAATACGGTGGTCATCAATTTAAGGGGAAAATACATCCAATTCTTTACATATCTTGAAAAATGTGGTTAATCATACACATATGCAATCAGTGGCGGATTCAGAAATTTATTTTTACATATTTTTAAAATAAGTAAGTTCTTTCGCATAAAAAAAGTTATGTACTCAACCATGTTTGAATAAAAAGTTTATACGTAAAGCGAAATTGTATTATTGGTCCCAAGCTATTGTCCCAAACGATTTAATTTATATTATTCTTCCTAACAATAATGCAGAATTTTTTTATTTCCTCCTTTGAAAAATTATTATTATTTCATTGATAAATCATTATTTTTTGGGCTTTTCAGGACAATTAGTAGAAATTAGTTTAGTCAATATAAATTTTAGGCTATTTTCAAATTGGAATAGAATTTTCGGTCTACATTTATTCTTTATTTGGCCTATACATCTAACCAAAAATCTTCTTTATTATTAATCTGGCATGGGTTGGATCGGGCTATAGTCAGGTCCAACCCTATCCACTGCCCAGGCCCAATTTGTATTATTGTTTCAATTTTTTTTCCCATTCAAATTTTAGTTTTTGAGCATCATCGTGGTGTAAAATACATTTAAATTGTGATTTAGATCTTCAAAGTGGCCGAAAATCTTTCCAACGGAGAGATGTAAAGGAAATGCAAATTGCACTTTCCAGCATAAAATGTTAAAAAAAAAGGAAGAAGAAGAAGATAATTTACATCATTTTTTACGTGCACAAGAAAAAAGTGGATTTAGATATTTCCCTTTGAGCAAAATATAAATTTAGATCCACCGTGATGTAAATGAGAATACAAAAGTGACTATGGAGATACCAATTTACATCACTATTGGAGATGCTCTTACTCTATTACTCTATAGACTATACCAAGGCCAGGCACTCTACGAAGACTGGCCAACCGTGGGCTGCACCTGACTACTTCAACACCAATAACTGCAGTGCATGATGGAACCGTGCTTTTGCGTTGCTGTGAACGGCAAAGAAGCACATAAACTAACTTTTGGGAAATGGTTGAAAATATTGACAAACGTCTTACCTAAAATTTAGCCGAAAGGTTAAAATGGATAGTTGTCATTACTTGACAATTGCAGCCACCAACAGTCATATTGGAGAGTCACCTAACAATGCACTTAACAATGCACTTAGACCCCCCAACAGATGTAGTATAAAGACAGAAATGAGAAGACTTTTTATGTTCAAAGTCATGCTTAGCGTTATTCTATAATTAATGCCTCGAGATCCAAGAACAAGCTGACATATATGGATTATTTTAAGGTTCTAAACATATTACAAACATTCATGATCAATAATGCAGATTTTGGTCAACGGATTTGGATTTCAGATCAAAGGTTTTTGTAAATATTGTGTTTCCCTCTACCAGTATCACATGACAGGTGGTTTCTTATTGATATGGTGAAAGGATATAGCAATAGCACTACTTGTGCCTAATAACTTGTGCTCTCTTCATGGCTCGATCGGTATTTGGACCCCGATGCAGCTGCCGCAGGATGGCTTGCAGCTTGGTGTGCTGTTTTCTTATCTTCCAGATATATTCGTTTGTATTTCAAGTTTATGTCAATGTAGGGAACATAAAGCGGACTATGCTCCCGGAATTCCATCCTCTCCTCCATGAACTGGTGAAGCCGGAGCAATTGATCCTTCTCCCACCGTATGGACTAAAAGATTGGCAAAAGGTCAACCTGTTTGATGAATTCCTCAATCAATCATCGTTACTCAGGAACATATTCTTCCCTAGTCGAGCATTTCTTGTAGATCCTATAGATCCAAGAAAGGATCTGGACAACGGTAGCTTGTACTATTATCCAGGGCGCGAATGGTTGGATACTGATGGAAATCCTATTCATGCTCATGGGGGTGGTATTTTGTATGATGAGATATCAAGGACTTATTATTGGTATGGTGAGTATAAGAACGGTCCTACTTATCGAGCTGGAGGAATAGGTACAGCACGTGTTGACATTATCGGTGTAGGTTGTTACTCTTCGAAGGACCTGTGGACGTGGAAAAACGAAGGGATTGTGTTAGCCGGGGAGGAAAAGAATTCGACACATGATCTCTACAAGTTGAATGTGCTGGAGAGGCCTAAAGTGATTTACAATGAGAAGACAGGTATTTATGTAATGTGGATGCATATTGATGATGCCACATACACCAAAGCCTCCGTCGGGATAGCCATTAGCAACTCCCCTACTGGCCCCTTTGAATATCGTTATAGCTTAAGGCCTCACGGATTCGATAGCCGGGACATGACAATTTTCAAAGACGACGACGGGGTAGCATATCTGATATATTCTTCTGTTCGGAATAAGGAACTTCATATTGGTCCGCTTAGTGAAGATTATCTTGATGTGACAAATGTCATGGCTAAGACACTTGTTGGACAGCACCGGGAAGCCCCGGCTTTGTTCAAGCATAAGGGGGTTTACTACATGGTCACATCAGGATGCAGTGGTTGGACACCAAATGAGGCACTAGTGCACAGGGCAAAATCTATTTTGGGGCCGTGGGAGACCATACGGAACCCGTGCATTGGAGCCAGTGCAGTTTTTCGGATTGCTACGTTTTTTGCTCAAAGTACATTCGTGCTTCCGATGCCTGGGGAGATTCCGGGTTCATTTATTTTCATGGCAGATAGGTGGAATCCATCTGATTTGAGTAACTCAAGGTATGTATGGCTGCCTTTAACTGTTAGAGCAACAGAGGAGTGGTATAATGGGTTTCCATCAAAGACAAGAGTGTCTATCTTTTGGCATGAAAAATGGAGGCTTCCACTTAGCCCGAAAGAGGGTCTGTAAATTTTAGTTTTTTGGACTTTTTATGCCTAATTTGAAGGCAAATTTGAATAAAGAACACTAAATGAGAATGCCTTCCACTCTACTTCCTTCTTTTGTTTCGTTTTCTAGTTCCTGCACCTGGATATATTTATAAGCATAATCTTCCTTGCTGTTAACATCGTCTTCTACGCTAACTTTGACAAAAATAATAAAGTACATAATCAAAGTAATCGGGAAAATGGGGGAGAAAATAAATGCAGAACTCACCATCATCAGCCACTTGATCCTCTTCTGCTTCATCACCTTCTTCAGTCTGATCCTTTTGTTCCTCCACAAAATGTGTAGCTTCCATGAAAATTTGTGACCTTCACAAGCTTTATCTTGTGAAGAGAAGTAGTGAGAAAGACTCGTGGATAAGCTGCATCAAACATAGACTACTTAGAAACAGTCGTGCGAAGGACACTAATAAAAATGCCATTTATTTTGCACTCATACAGAATGTCAATCTAGTTTATATTACAAAGACAAATGCAATATCATTGGAAACCTGGTTTGATAGACAAGAATCCACTTTTAGTACTTTTTAGGATTAATGAACATTTTGTTTATAGAACTATAATGAAATATACAATCAATCAACCTTTATCGAATTTGAAAAAAAAAAGTCAGTTCGATCCTCTTATTTGAACGTCATTTGTGTGTTTGGCCCTAGTCCGTACACTGTTCACAACCGATACCAGGATTGGCCTTAAAACTACTGCAAATGAGGTCATGGTTCAATTCTTGAGGATGCCACCCTAGTAACATGAACGTGTAGCGCATAATGGGCTATCTCCATAGTGTGCGCAGCGCAAGTAGTGTGGAGCAGGGCCAAACAAACAAATGGCATCTAAAGCATTTAACTCCGGCTGATTGGCGCAAAACACCTTACCTATTAGACATGCTACGTAAAACCCCATACCAATTGGAATTAATACAAAACTACAAAAGGTTCTGTTTGAAACTTTCAGTGATATATCCTCGTATTTAAATAAAAAATAAAAAAAATTAACTGCAACTATAATCCAAAATTTTTAAAAAAGTACAAACTAGCCCCAAATAAAAGAAAAAAAAAATCACTTCATCAGTTCATCTTCCTCCTTTCTCTCCCACAAGTTCACAACCACCACCATTCACTTCCCATCATTTCAGTGGTTAAAATACATTGAAAGCCCACACCACTGTTACTTTAGCTAACTTAGCAATAATCCACGACAAAAATCCCAAATTTCAACAATTTATCAACCTAATCGATCGATGTTACTACAATTGGGTCAAACTGATGCAGGAATCTGTCGCCATGTTGTCGAACCCATCGCATATCTAGTTCCCTCAACTGATGTCGCCACCACCTGAAAGAACTGGGTTGGCAGGGCATGTCCTACCACAACCACAGCCAATTCCCCCACCACATTTCCAGATAAATAATTTTACATCTGTACCGCTGCAGCCTCAGCGTCATGTGCCAATTTCACAAAAAAAAAAAAAACTATGCCTAATTTAGGCTCGGAATTTAATCCTGTAACATATCAGTAACTTCCTTAAACCGGCGGAGATAAATAGAACACCGCGTCTTGAGCTCTAATGTAACCTCCATACGTGGCGAAAGAGCCAACGCCGCATCAGACGGCATTGCAATTAACATTTTCGCCTCCCTTACCTATCTCTCCACCATCTGCGTTTCAGGAATCAATTAATGGGTCAGTACAAGTGAGAATACAAATTAAAAAGAATGAATTCAATGTTAAACATGGCAACCGAATTTCATGATTGCGGGATTTGAAGTACCTTTTATTGGTAAGCCACCAGTGCTTCTTTTCTCCACTGGCAAGAGATGGAGATATGGCCATTGCTGTCATACAAGGATCAACAATTAACCCCTTTCTCTCTCTATATATATATACTCACAAAATATGGTTGTTTAAGATAGAATTCAAAATTAGGTTTTGTATTTTTTTTTTCTTGTTGTGGTGCGTTCAGACGCAGCGGTGGTTCCAGTGTCCGGCGAGCTCCAGCGGCCATGTGCAGGATTCGCTGGTCAATGTATTTTTTCGCCTATATTCAATTTTTTTTTTGTTTTTTTGGGTCAATGTATTTATTGTATTCAATTATTTTGGTAAACTAATATTTCACCGTGGTGAGATGTAAAAATTTATATTAAGTACAAACAATTCTAATGATATGTATGCACGGTGAGATGTAAAAATTTAATTAAGTACAAAGAATTATAATGATATGTATGCACTGAGATGTAAAAATTTATATTAGACAATTCTAATGATATATTCGCATGATATAAAAATTTATATTAACTACAAACAATTCTAATGATAAACATACAATCAATTAGATGGAAAACACTTCATAGTTTAAATTTAAATAAAAATATATATACCACATAACTAATTATATGCAAATCAGATAAATGAAAGAAAATACATGTGGGGTGGTGCACGGAGACACGGGCGTGGACAAATTTATATTTATATCAAGTGACAAACAATTCATATGCTAATTGATTTTCAAGCCAAAATACTTCATAATTTTAAATAAAAATATATACAACACGTAACTAATTATATGCAAATGAAAGAAAATACATTTGGGGGTGGTGCAAAAGTAAACGGTGAGTTTGGGATGGTTTTTTTTAATAATAATAAAAAAAATTCATGTCCCCATGCTTGAAGGAGATACCGCCCGTGTCTCCATCTAGAACGTAGACACGGACGGTGTCTGTCTCCATGTGTCTCCATGGAGACACGAATTTATTTATTTTTTTAAATCGCCCCAAACCCACCACCTCCAAATGTATTTTCTTGCATTTATCTATTTGCATATAATTAGTTATGTGGTGTATATTTTGATTTAAAATTATGAAGTGTTTTGCATCTAATTGCATAAGATGCGGTAAGTGTTAATCGTCGTAATTAGATAACAATTATGCGCTACCATTGAACTACATGGATATTGAACGACATACTCAGTATCCTGTAGTAAAATATCAATCATTCTTGTACTTCTCCCAGAGATTTCCTTTGAGTTGACTCTATCATTGCCAACAACTTCTTCAATTACATCTAAAAACAGAAATATTGATGTATTCTCCGTTAACGATTAACATTAAAAATTGTGAATCAATTTCTCTTTAAACTGGAACTCCAAAAAATATGACATGACATGTTAAAAGTAAACATTACCAATCAACTTGTTTTCATCTATTTCAGAAACTGACAACAGATTACCATACGAAATAAAATCATAAATATGGTATGAAAAGATACTATCTTCAACTTCATTGACATATGTTTTCATCATGAAATTCAGCTTGTCTTTGTGACTGAAAGCTTTGTACTTTGAATTGTTGTAACCAATGACAAAGTCACGCATAAGATATAAAAGTCCTTCACGGATTTTGGGCTTAAATGTCTTGATCAAGTTGCGTTTAATAGATGCATGAATTCTAGTGCCCTGACATCGCATATTCCACATCAAATTCATTAATAATCTACATAAATTAGGATTAAACAATTAATATTAAATAAATAGACTAATAANTTTTTCCAAATGTAGGATTTTCTCAGAGTCGAACAACGCGAACATGGAATGCCCACTTGGGTTTGGTGGGAACGATGTCTGTGAGCATATCTATGATGACAGCCAACTTACTGCAAATAGAAATAAGAAACAAAGCTAAATTTTCAAATCTAAAAACAGAAAGCTTTAACTTACAAATTTAAATTTAAACTATATATTATATATATGGTATAATCTGTATTCAAACCGTCGCATTTTTTTTTTCCATTTGAAGATTACAAAGTCTAGTGTAAAAAAAAAATTAAAAGTTATGACCAGCTCCGTTATGCACGGAGACAGCACGGTATTGTCTCCGTGCAGAAAGGAGCTGCCCAGCTCCGTTATGGACGGAGTTAGGCTGTCCAGCTCCATTCTGCACGGCCAGCTCCATGCGCGAAATCAGCTGGAGAATTTTTTTCCCTTCCTTTATGAAATAATCTTAGTAAATAGAAATTAAAAATTTTCTTGTATATGGATTGCCAAAACAAAAAAATGAATAAAAAAAAGTTAATAAAACACCTATCTCTTACATGAGGTTGAGAATGAATGGAAAAGAGTGAGAGGGCTGTACCCGAACTTGAACTTGAACTTGAAGAGTGAATGGAAAAGAGTGAGAGTTAAAGATGGAAAAGAGTGAGAGTTGAAAATGTGCAAAGGAAAAAATTGAATTCAAAATATATATTATTGTGCTTTTTTCATTCCAATCAAAAGTCAAGTGATAGCAGCGGCAACACTGTTGCACTTAAAGTGGCAGGAATACTGTTGCTGTAGGTATCCTTCTTTAATATAGTATTAGATGATAATCCAGTGGTTCAGTTGGTCATATAAGTAATAATTATGAAACACCCCATTGTTTTTAAAACTTTTTAACTAAAATTGACCTTTTAAAATAGTCATTGTTTTGTTGGATTGAAATTATTAGCAAATAGAGCCAAGAAAGTAAATAATTGGACCTATTTTCAAATTTCAAATTGTTACTCAATAAACATTATTATACTAGTAGATAAAGTATACCCACACTTATAATTCAAACTACGATATAAGTAATTTTAGTTCACAGCATTTGTTATTATTGCGGTTGTTAACGGCCGTTCGTGCTCACTCAAAATATTAAATCCACCACTGTTCAAACCGCGACGACAGTTGTGGAAAGAGGTGGTGGTGGGAAGAGAGTAGTGGAAGAGGAATGAAACTTTTATTTTTATTCTTAATTTTTAATAATTTATTTGTGGCTCTTTTGTACTTTTTTTAAAAAATGGACTATAATTGCAATTAGCTTTTAATTTTTTTGCCCTTTTTAATTTTTATTTTATTTAAATATGATGTTACATTAGTTATTTCACAACTTTTTATTAAGCAAATGGGGTAAGAGTATACCACATTAAAAATTTCAAATAGGGACCTTTTGT